TTCCCTCCACAGACGTACTATAGAGTATTTGCCCTCTAAGTGTCAATCCTCTCTGAAACTTGGAGAACTTAACCTTTCTAAAGCAAAAAATCCTCTGGAAATCTGTAAAAGCCAAATTTTTTGAGGAAAACAAAATTAAAAAAAATTACTGTACATGGAAATTACAGAAGATGATGCAAAGATAGATAAAAAAAGTTTAAGGAATGGGGCAGAGTTAATGAGGTCAGAAAACCAGAAAGAAAGGAGGACAACAACCTTTTGTTTGATTTGTGTGCTGGTCCTATTTTTTCCTCAGAAAGGATGCTTTTTAAAGTATATCTTAAAAACATGCACACGATTTCAATTTGCTCTTATCTAGGTTTTGTATAAACCAGACGAGATTTGAAACCAGAAACCTAAAGGTGAGCTCAGTGCTTCACTACACTCATTCAAGTTGCTCCTATCACTGTCTCTGCTAAGAAAAAAGGTCAGAGTACTTACTGGTGAAGTGGATAGACAGATAACAGGGCCAGGAATGGTATGAACACTATTATATTACAGTCCTACTATTTTCTGTGGCATGTAAGTAATTGAGGAACTACATACTGGTCAGACAAGCTAATTATGCAGAGATGCAATGTCATCATCAAGTCACCAGATTTCTAAATCATCAGCTTCACTTCACTGGCGTAAAGGGCGGTGGTGCCTGTGAGAATCTGCACAAAATTTATAAATTGGCTTCTGCTGATTTATGCCAGATAAAGGATCTTATCCCAGTGACCTGCAAATTACATCCTTAAGGGGACCTGCATGTTTCTTTCCTTCACAAATACGACAATGAGAAAACAACTTACGTTCAACTTGATCAAACATTACTGAGAACAAGAAATCTCTTGGTGTCATGTAATATTCTCCTTCATATTCCAATGATGCAAAATGCATGAAGCGATGCTTCCGAAGAGACAGTCTTTCATCCCTTTCTGCATTAATGACATCTTCCTTCTGAAACAGAAAAAAAAATCCATGCAGAAAGATGGTTGCACATGTAGACCAACACTGTAATTAAAATCCTACACTCAATCCTGATTGACCTCAATATTTTGTGGGTAGCACAACAAGAGACTACCAAGAATTTAAGCTTTTATGGCACGGTCCTAATGAATTACATGCTTATATGACATTCAAAGTACTTTTGGGCTTCACTGAGAGCATGCCTTAACAACACAGATGAGCCAAATTGATGGCTTGCTGTCACCAAAGGCTGCCCTTGCTTCTTACGCCCCTGCTCTTGGCCATATGGTCCTGCACTTCCTCGTTTGCCAGCTCTGCTACTTGTTGGACTCTTGCTGAGCCAAATTCAGCTCGCTAACTCAACAAAAAACTAAACGGACCAAAATAGCATTTTGCCAGGTTAGTGACGGCTCAGCAAAGGTTGAAATGTGCTCTGCATCTGTGCAAATGATCCACTCCTGAAGTTAATTACCAAGTTATGGAGGAACTTGTAAGATGGGAGAATAATTATGTTCTAGTTTAAGCACGGGTCTGTCTTTCAGAAAAGTTAGAAAAATGGGAAAAGCAAAGAAAACACCAACAAAAGAGTCAGGGATTGTATCACCAAACCCAAAGATTCAACTAGTCAAGCAAACAAAAAACTTCCAACTGCCCATCACCTTAAATATTGAGAACTCATGATTGAAATCATACAAGCTAACAACACTCTGATGAGTAGTAATAGCACTTACTGACAATAAGAGAGGACACAGACACAGGAAATAGAGACGTTTACATTTTAATATTTCAGAGATAGCAAGTGACAACAGGAAAATGAGACACTCTCAAATTCAGAGCACACTGTGTATTTCAACATTAATCATGGCACAGTTTTACCACCAGCAACATAATTCAATTTTAGGACTGTTCAAAGATGTGAGAAACTGAAGGAAAAGCAAGAAAATCCAAGGCTAAGTACCAAGATCCCAACTTGAACAGACTTGAAACAAGCCAGTAAACACCAAGATGGACCACGGTCAGTGCCCGTGACAGTACTTGGTGTGTGATCCAGAGGAGCAGGTACAGCCTAGAGCACGGCCTACCAAGGTGCTGCATCACACCTTCCAGCATCACTATTAGTTTACGCAATTTGCAGTTTCTGAATGGAAACCTATGGAGTGCTTGGCATTTGGGCAGTCCAGTGTAGTGCTGGTGTATGCTGCATTTAGCAAATCGGGTTCCTGCCGAGACAGGGCAGTGCAAGCGGCTCCTGGTTACACTCGGACCAGCTGCAGGTGCAGCGAGGGCCTTGCCAGCTGATGTTAAAACACAGGGTCTGCTGTGCTGAGCGTGCTCACGGGGCGAACTGCAGGACACAGACAGGCAGACAGTACGTGAATGGAGGAGGGAGGAAACCAGTGGGAACATCTTGCTTGGTTTTGCTGAAGTCAGCACTAGTTACAGCAACATGTGAGGTGGCACCCAGGTGCATGGGAGGCTGTTACGAAAATCGGCAACATTCACAGGTATTTGCATATAGTGTAGCAGGTAACAGGCGCCTTTGTGTTGCTATGCGTACATCCAGGGAGCGTGCAAGTGAATAGGGACTGGGACTCTCTAAACAACTTAAAAGATGTAATCAGATTTCTGACACTTCAGTTTTAACTTGCTATTCCTCGAGGATGGGGACTGCTAATTCAGTTTCCTCTGCTGAGTTTGAACAATTGCACAATCAAGTGCTAGCAGTTACACTTCCTCCACCCAGCTGACAACATGCCAGGACTGTGGTATGAAGTGGCAAAGACAGCAGAGGAGCTAGCTGATAAAAGGAACATACAAGCTGCTTTGGGATGATACCTTCTAGCTCTCAGACAGGGCTCTGAAGTTAAAATAAAAAGCATTATTAGGTTTAGCGTCAGGCTTACGAGGTAGAGGAAAGAGATATAGGACTGATATTGATACAGGCAGCTCAGTGTGGTCTGAGAGTAATGACCAACTCCTTCAAAGTGAAGCACTCTGGGAACAGGAGGGTGGACCTTAAGCTGCAGCCGATAATCAGTCCATTGAAGAAAGAGTGAAAAAACAGTTCAGTGGACAATGAGACATCTGAGAAGAGGATAGAGCATTTCAACTTTGTGCCACCAGGTTTCCTTTTTCTCTATTCAGCATGGTCCCTAACTGGATATGGGGACCATATGTTCATACAATTTGGGGATCTCAAGACAAGGAGTACCACTGGCAAACCTATAACCATAGCCTGGATACGATTATTACCATCATATATTATATTATACTTAATTATAAATAGAAGGCTGCAACTTGCCATTTAATCCCACGCCTTGCACCTTTGTGTTAGGATTAAGCATTTGTTAAAGCACTTAACTGAATGACACATGCACCTTGTTATAGTTATTTTAGTTTCCCCTTTTAGCATGTTTGCTTCCCTCAAACCTTGGGTTACAATGAAGGTGGGGGGGAGGGGACCAACAACAAGAAAAAACCCAAAATATTCATGTTTTAGAATTAAAAGTCACATTCTGCTAGGCAAGGAGAACAAGGGCTACTTCTAAGTATCTGAAGCCAAGGTTTGCTTTGTTTTAGATATGACTGTTTTGTATCAATATCATTGCTTTAAGCTTCTTAAATAGTATGTAGCTTCATCACGGCCTACAACACGAGCTGCACTGCTGCTGATCTGTGATTCAGATCTGTATGTTCTGGAAAATGCTGTTTAAAAATAAATCTAATGTAATGAGAACTTTAGCTTTATTCTTTTTAAAACTTTGGGGGACAAGTGACTGTAATTGCCTAGTTAACAAGATTCAACAAATGTTGCAGATATCAAATGCATAGTTCATAGCTGCTGGGTGTTAACATGCAGCATTCTTATTAAAATCATCTCCTTCTCATAATAACATGAGCAATTTTTGCCCAAAGGCAAATTGAAAAAAAAAAACAAACCAGAAAACTGCTTCACCATTGTCCTTTGACTAAAACTACGAAATGACAAGCAATCTTTCTGCACAAATACAAAACAAAAAAGTTTAGAAAAGAAGTAGAGAGCTAATCCCTACAATGTCTTCAAACCAACTGGATTTTCAAGTTTCTTAAGTCTTGCAGTAGTTGTCTGAATCCTGTCTAAAGCTAAACTTGTTACTGATATGAAAGTACTGAATTTCAGCAATCCACAATTTTAACTGAAATAGGTACAACTTCACATATTAACTCTGAAGAGTGCCTTGTATTTGGAAGAGAATGTATTCCCATCAGAATTACAGCAACACGTGACTACAGATTCATCAAGCCCCTTACTTTTCATGAAGCTAGCATCCCTGATTTGCAAAACAGCCTTGGGAACATGGGTCATTTCTTACGAAAGTCAGCTTCAAATACTAGCACAAATGAGATAAGCAAACCTTATGGGACAAAATGCGTCAGCTGTGCCATCTCTTCTTTGTTTTCAAAGCTTTTGCAAAATTCCTGACATCCTGTTGCTGTATGAGAAGCTCAGCATCTGCTAAAAGCACTCTGACCCCTCTGGACACCAGCACGAGCTCGGCACGAGAGACGCTAGAGCTCAGCTGCTCACGCATAACTGCTTACTGCTTCTGAAAAGCGTTTGTCCCTCAGACTGAATATTCATGGCACTTCAATGGAAGTAAAACAATTTATACTAGCTACAAAGCTGACCTGCCATCTTTATAATAGGTATCTTTATTTCTGCTTTCCCCCTATGTTATAGTATGGTTACTGTGACAGTCTCTACAGCATACTTGAAGTATGTTAATGTTAAAGGAAAAAAAAAAGACTGTGCGACAATCAGCAGTGCAGAAGTATAACATGAAAACAAAAATATGATTATCTCATATCCAGTTATTTTGGACTTTATGGAGGAGCACACGGCAGACCTCAGTGAAGGTCTAGGAGAGAAATATGTACAGACAAAATAAAAAGGCTACCAAAATATTTCAAAAACACTGAGTAAGTTTTACACCCCTTGACAGTTAGAATAAAGGCTGAAATTTCCCCACATGGCTGTGCATTCTGCACAAAACCCAAGAAAAAAAAACCTGAAAGTTTTTATTAAGATCCTTTTTACTACAGAATATGTGGAAGCAGAGGCTTTTTCAACTCAGAGAAAAGAAAGCTTCAGGGGACCCTAACAGCAACCTGCCAGTGCCTTTGGGGAAGTTACCAAGATGACTGAGCTGGGCTCTCCACTGGAGCTTCATACAGTTCCTCCATTAAACACGGTTAATCCAGGCCCCCTCTATAACGAGTGGTGAGAATGGCTGTTCTGGAGTGCACTTACAGGGACTTTTTTTAACTGTCTGGAAAGACAGTTCAGAAGATGCAGTCAGGGATAGAGCACCACAAAAAAAGCTGACCTCCCCTTCACACCAAACACATTTGCACAATTTTACTGCATGAGAGAATGAAAATCTGGGCAAACATAACCGGTGAGCAGAAGCTCAGAGGAGAGAGGTGTTACACTCTTCAGCCAGACCAGAAAGGGTGTAGGAAATACAGAAATTTTTACTGTCCAGAGTGAAGGCGGGTAGCATCAGTGGCCACATACCCAAATAGCGTATCATGATGACGTAAGGCCTTTTCATTGCCACCTATCTCACAATGTTTTCCAAAACCAACAACAATACTATTCAAATTGTTTTAATACCAATTAAGGACTTGAACCTTCTACATTTGGCATCAGAGACCAGAAATTCATGATCAAGTTGTAATGACATTGAAAAAGGGATGACTCTTCAGGTGTAAGCCATATCATTTATAATTTGACAAAAATACTCAATACAATTAGTTGTGCAATTTTAATTAAACTGAATGTAGCTCGATGTTTGCCTTTTAAAGACCAGTACAGATAATCTTATTCTTACTCTTCTTAGTGTCTTCCTTAAACATACTGCCAGCATTTAATTAAGCTTTGAGTGACATCTTTCTCATCACACTTTTGTTAGCCACACTGCCAACTATGACCCTCATACTGCCTCAGTTGTTCTCCATTTCACCACACAAAACCACTCTCATAACCTAGATAAACAATATGA